AACTACACCTTTATTTTCAAGGTGGCCTGAACAGAGTGTTTTAGGGCTTGCTGTGCGTGTGTAGAGGTTCTCAAGCGGTTGACGGAAAGGGAACTTGAAGTACTATACCTGGTAGCTGCACTATAGCTACCCTAGGTCTCTCTACCTTGCAAGGTGCCAACTACACCTTTCCATTCAGATGATGCAAATGATGCATTTGGCATTTCTTGCATCACCACCCCTCAAAAATCACCTCCAACACAACCTCAAAAAACCTTCCCTCGGAGCACCCTCCTCCTCCAGCATGTGCTGAGTTGACGTATACCTTTCTCGGGCCACCCCCCCAGACCCCCTAACTACTCACTTCGTTCGCCAGACACAACTCCGCTAGCGCCTTCTACGAAGGCTGGCTTTCGTAACAAAACATATACAACAGCAAGCAACTTGGTGATGTTCCATTCAAAAGGCCAAAAAAGATCAAACAAGTATTGCCCCAAATACTGCTGCCAGTGGCCAAGTGGCACAGTTTAAAGAATTGTTCAACCTCGACACACACGAACACAACATCACACAACCCAGTCTGGTGATATAGCTGCATCCGCAAATACATGCAAAATCATGCAAATACCACCTAGAACATGACAACTGGTGGGGAAGGCGGAAGGCATCAATCCGAAGATCATCTTCACCCATCTTCACCCCATGTCCGTCTCCATCCCGCCGCGCGTCCTGCGACGATCCCGCCCCAACCTGCGATGTGGTCCAAGTGTTTGGTGACCTGTGGAAGCGCAAATCGATCAACCAGCGATCGATCAAATAGAAAAAACCAGCGAGCTCAAACAAAACGTAGGAAAAATCCCTCCAACCCAACTGTAAGATTTTTGATGAAGCGCACAAATCAGCTCAACAAAACACCTCCTGAGGTGTTTTTGGGGCGGGCTGGAGGGGTCTAAGTGAGTCTAACTATTTCAGAGGAGCCCTAGGGGAAAGGATGCTACCTTAAGGATGCGTAGCATTGTACATAATGGCATACCTGAAGTGCAAGCCTCCACCACTCTGGAATTTCACATCAACGCCCATTTCATCGCTTCTCTGTTGCCCAGCAATGGTAGCCACTTCCCAGCAAAGGATCCAATATGAACCAATGGTGGGCTGGAAAACGGGATGAAAAGGGTCCAAGTTCCAAAGATGTTGTCTCTTTGGGGTGGGAACAGCTTTTGAACGGACTTGGCGCCTCCTGAGGCCCCAAAGGTGATCGAATTGGTGAACGGGAGCCCCCACCCCTCCACCCCTCGATCCTCTGACGCGCGCACAGGCCACGCGCACGCGGTGTGGCACCTTGATACCGATCTTGTGCCATTGGCTCGTGGGCCTCGGGTGAAGAGCGGCGTGAGTATGCCGAAGAAAGGAGGTAGACCGAAGATTGGAAGGCAAGGAGGTATTCCGCGAGAGGCCGATGATGTGGAATGTGGGATTTTGAGCAGCTACAGTACCATAGAAATACTATGTAAGCAGCTACCAGCACCACCCCAAGGGTGGTTTATAGACCCCCTTAAAGATGGATTTTCCATCTAATAACCACCCTTTGGGTGGTGCTATACAGTAGATGAATCTCTTGCTGTCCTTCAGTTTGAACTCTTGAGGATCGCTTTTTCCATTTTAGCATGAGTGCACCCTTGACGGACGAAGTGATCGATAAGTGGCACGAGGGTATCCTTTTGCCAGGTTTTTTCCAAGAAGCCCTCAGCTGATGATGCTGCAAATGACAGGATGACATTGACATCAACATGTCAGACTAGCAGCCCAGTGACATAGGCTTTACTAAGGGTTTTACACGACTTTAACCAATTGATTAGTCCGATGGTTGGCTATAGGGTACATTCTCCATGCCACACAGAGTAACTCAGGTTGGTTCGTAACCAAAACAAACCACCTGGGATCATGGCGAGGTAAGGGGAGGCTTGCCCATGGCATATCCTACCTCCGGCAAATGAATTCAAACCATGCAAGCCTCTGCCAAAACGTACTGTCAAGTAGAGATGATTCATCAAGGTTATCACGTTTGAGGGAGGCCAAATAGCTTTCTATATCAGTCCATCATTAGTTATCGCATGTTTTGGCACCTGCCAGTTGAAACGGACGGTCATACACTGAGCGAGTGTCGCGGAAGAAGAACCGACCGGAGAGAGGGTGGTTTCTGTAGGAGTAAGCCGGGTTTCATCTCGCGTTTGATCGATCTCAAAGATGAAAAAAAAAACATGATTTCTTCACCAGGCCACTGCTTCTTGGGCTGATTCTCGTTCATCAGCAGCCCCAAGGTGTTATCTTTGGCCTTCTTCTTATCCTCAAGCACGCCGGTGCGTGTCAAACACCGCACGGGGTATGCAGTGAATCACTGCTGCTGCTGGAGAGGTTAAGAAAGACTCCAGGGGATGAGGCAAACCAAGGATCTGAAGTTCACGAACGCCCAGCGCCCAGATTCACAAAAATATCAAGTTCTAATGTGGACCTCTGATTGATCAAGGGGAGAGGTCCACATTAACATTGTTCTAAATGTCAAGTTCTAATGTGGACCTCTGATTAAATATTGATATTTGTTAACAATGTGGACCTCCAGAACAATGTTAAGAAATTATTGAGGGAGAGGTTGATTGATCAAGGGTCAGAGGGAGGGTCCCTTTTTCAGTGGTTTCAGATGGCACAATCCCATGATATATGGTGGTTCATATGGACCCCCCGATCTACACGACATCATGAGGACTATCATGAGGTATGTACCATCCAACCTCTGGAACCACTGTATCAAGTTCTAGCCCTGCATCTTTTTCTCTTTTTGGTTGACCATGTGCTGGTTGACCATGTCCTGGAATCAGCTCAGAAGCTCAATGTGGAGCCTGCCTCCAAGTGTGCTGTGGATTCTGATGACCTATTGGGGGCATCTGTCCAAAGAGCTACAGGATGACCTCGGAACTCAGCGTGAGAACTCGTTTCATGGAGCGTTCGCCCTTCAAGGCAGCATTCACCATCGACGAGGCAAAACCTTCAAAACGGTGGTCGTGAAGTTCCTCGGAGCCACAGGTGTCAGAGTCCTGAGCAGCCTGAGAGCTTCAAAAGGCTGGACCAACAAACACTCCCAACTAGCAGGGTTTCATGGGGGGGTTCTTCCATCTATCCCGGAATTGGTGTAAAGGAACATCTACAGGAAACCCAGGGTTTTGGTGGCAAAAACCATGGTTTCCTGTAGGTTTTCCTTTGAATCAATCCGCTGAATCTATTGCACCTCGTTTTGTTGGATGACTTGGGCAAAATGACCTCATATAATTCTAGATATCAAACCGTTGCCTTTTGTTCTGCCATCACCGGCCGTTGGGCTTTTTGGTCCGGAGATGCATCTCTCGGTCCGTTGCCGAGCTGCACAGGATCGCCTCCCCCTCTTCCTGGCGAAGGAACGAATCGGTGGGATGGACTGAGAGCTGAACACTCTCAAATACAAGCCTATGAAAACCCGTGGCCCTATGGCCTAAGCTGCTAAGCTCACACACACATAAAGACTTTATTAATATATGTTTATAAAAAACGTATTATAAACGGTTCGCCATCATGACGGCTCCCTGAAATCCTCATGGAAGTCCCCCCCTTGGGTAAAGGATGGTCATGGTCATGCGAACTCAGGGCCGGCAGCTTGCCATACCCGAGAGAAAGCCGGAGGCGTTGCTGCAGGTGATTTCCTCTCAACTGCCGGTTCTCTCAAGAGACCTTCAGCATCCTTCAGCAATCTGTCTTGTAGCAGGGCACCCTAAGGGGTGTCTAAAAAGAACACAAACGACCATAACAACCCCCTTAGAGGTTGAGAGTTCTTATGCTTCCTGTACCGGCGTGCTTACGGCGCAGCTCGGTGCTTCCTCCGGTCGGTCGGTGCTCCTCCGCTTGGACTTCGTCTCGGTGGAGTCCTCGACGTAGCTCACGTCGCTCGCGTCGCTGGCGACGCTGCCGTCCGAGACGTTGGAGGCCTCGCTGCCGTCCGACACATGGGAGGCCTGCGCCGGGGACGGTGGGTGGAACGGATGGGTGGACGGTGGTTGGTTTTGGTGGTTGTAAAGGGCAATTTGGAGACCTTGAAGAGGTGAAGATAGCATGTTTGAAAGGTTGAAGGTTGAACTCAAACAAGTCTGCGACTTGGTCCACTCCAAAATGGTGAATGATGAACTGCATCAGAAAACAACATCTTTAGATGGGATGAGAATAAAGGGTCCGAAGGTTTTCTAGCCCTCCCAATAACAAACGTCAATCATGGGGTTGAGAAGGTTAAAACTCTAGCACAATCTAGCACATGTTTTCGGAACTCCCTTTGCTCTCCAACTCCACGTAAAATGCATATACCCCTCGTACTGCCCCTCGTATACCCCAGCTTCTTAGCCTCCTTCCGCCACTGGCCAGCTACCATCGCAAGAAATGTCCTCTCACCGCTGCCAAAATTTGCCTGTGACTTTCCAAACTACATAGGTTTTTCACAAAACAAATCAAGCCAATCATACCAGAAGCTGCTAAAGGATGCTAAAGGCACATTAAAGGTATTACACCTTTCTTGCTTTGTTGGAGCAAAGGCAACCTCAAAACCATGAAATAGATACCTGGACCATCCTGTCTGGGTGTCCTGAGTGTCCTGTAGCAGTTTCCGAGTAATCCATCAATTCCCAAGACTTTCCAAGACTTTCCTGGAAAGACACAACATCACTGCATCACAAATAAGACCATTCGTCCAATACGTTCCTACGTGTCCAACCATTTGTACCAAGACCATCCCACTGCCGCGAGCCAACCGCGACTCGCGCCTCCGAGCCATGCGAGGGAGACTTCCGTACCTGGCGTGTTGGACACCGGCGGCGGGTGGAGTGCGCTCACCGCAACCGCCAGGTTAAGCCAGTAAAACACCTAGGCCGACCGCACGATCCATGTGTCCGAAGACCCTGCAGGGTTTTTTTCCAGCTCCGGTGAGCCGGAGTGTGTCCAATTTTTGGTTCGAACCTTGGAATCAAAAACTCCAGGTGAAGAAGTTTGTGGAATAAATTAGAATGACCATGAATGACCGGCTTTTTCATATCCAACTAGGTGCTTCACCATTCTTAGCCTTTCTCCATCTGACCAAAACGACCCGCCTGCTGTGATGAGGAAGCCTGAAGGCCGAGGCAAAAACCGGTTTCGTGCACTGGGGACCCAGAAAAGGTGTTACAGATGTTGCTGGGTCGCAAAGGCTTTTAACAGCGTGAGTCCAGGAATTTGGGTCGACCCGCGGTTCTTCAATCCATTCGGTACCCAAACACTCCTGTCATGATATATGCTTATTCATATGCCCCCTTTGAAGCCGCCAATGCCACCTACATTCATTATATACTTTTTAAATAGATATAATATATATTATATGATCCACGACCAAAAGAACTGCTGGTTGTTGTTTTTGGTTGAGACAAAAACAGCTGCCCAACATAGTTGTCACATGTTGCAAGTCAGGGATTTCAAAGGGACACTGTTCGGTATAGGGTCGAAGGTTTGGAGAGATGTTAGTAGCTGGACTTGTCGTTGTGGTACTCAAGTCTTGGTTGGTCTGTTTCTTGTTTTTTTATGTTTTTTTGGGGTGCCGTTCTGGAGGGAGGGGATCAAAAAACAACAACGGGGCTGCAGATTGTGTTTCTAGGGGGGAAAGACAACAACATCTTTTGAGGGGGGGTCCCAAAAAGCAACAACGGGGCTGCAGTTTTTGTCTCTAGGATGTATAGAGGTTCCAAGTAGAAGTTTTGCAGAGGCTTAGCTGACCGGACTACCACCACCACCGCCACCACGACTACTACTACTACTACTGCTACTACTACTACTCCTACTCCTCCTCCTCCTACGACCACTACAACGACTACTACTAGTACTAGTGCCACTAGTGCTAGCACCAGTACAAGAGCTACCACTACTGGTAAAAGTGCATGTTGGCTGGTTGTTTTCGGGGGGGGGTCTTGTTTCCACCCCCTTGTAGAGACAAAGGAACAAGATACGTTGTAACAGGGCTGCAGTTGTTGTTTGTTGTTGTTGTTTTCACAACCATGCAAAACATGCAAAACCTGTTCTCTGCCCGGAAGGGTCCCACCCTGGAACGGTCGCAGCAACATAGCAACATGCACCATCTCTTTCTCCAAAAATCTCCAAAAGCACGTTCTTAATCGTTCTTACCCTGTTTCAATGGCTCACATCGGGCCACACCCAGGATCCGAACTACTCTCTCCAGTTCTTCAATCCCACACGTGTTTTTGCTTCCTCTTCGGGGCAGGGCCAGTGAAATGAGCACACACTCCCCGCCATCCGGCAGTTTTGGGCAGATCGTCCGGTCCTCCAAACTCGTGGCTATGCCATCCACGCCAGGTTAATGATCAGGAGCCCAGATGCTCCGTTCACAGCCCGACTGGTCCCTCACAACGTAGGGATTTGAGACCCCAAACCCCTCCAAAGGATTCGGGTCCGACCCCTCCATCTGCGGGCCCAGGGTCGCGTCTGGGAGTGACAAAAACTGAGAGTCGACCCAGTAGTGCGAATTCAGGAGACGAGGAGGCGTCTCCCCAAGTCGCCACACGGCTCGTTCGATCGGGAGAGATGGCGCGGCACGGGTTCAGTTCTGTTTTTGATCGATAGGGGGAGGGGCGGTTCAGGGGTGTCTGGGATTCGGATCGGAGAGCTCCGATATCATGCAAGCAACGCTGAAGGCAACAGGTAGTAGCCTTTCTCCTCCCAACAAGTCACCTACCATCATTACCACAATAAAGTTGAGAGACCTCAACTATAGGACATACTGGGACCCAGTGAAGGGGGGGTCGATTAGGCATGGGATAGGCATGGATAGGCGTTTTTTTAAAGGAAGCTGCTCGTCTCCTCGCCAGGTCTTTCCTACTGTCGGCCTCCACCCTACTGTCGCGAAGGCCTCCCAAGGCACCCAGATGTGCCAAGGAGCTCCTGCTCCCTCACTGCTCCGCCGGGAGGAGCTCTTCGCTCCCCGAGCACGGCCCGATGCATCGGACCGGTTGGAGCGGGTGGAACGTCTCTTCGGCGAGGTCTGAGAAGCCGCGCAGAAGGCGCGAGGAGGGCGTGGCGAGGAGGGCGAGGAGGGCAGTTGGGGTCCAAGCAAGGTTGAAGGGGGGCCCTGTTTGGACTATCCCCACTACTATCCTCTATAGGTATACCACAGTGGATGTGACACAGGGCGCCCCTGGAGTCCATAGCACTCCGTTGGAACTGTTGGTTGAGGTCATCTACCAAGGTTTTAGCTCATGCAAGCCACGTACCGAACAACTGTGAGGGAGTGGAGCGATCGAATACAACCCTCTATTATCCAACCCTCAGCTAAAGCAACCCCACCCACGGTTCCAAACTAAGCCCAGCTTGGGTTTCTGGGGTGGGTCAGCAGGACCAACAACCAGAAACCACCATGAAAACAGCACTTGCTTCCTCATTCCCTTTGCCCTAACCGTCCAAGACAATCAATAGGTATAGGCTGACCAATCGGCCATAGCACGCGACTTTGGCTCGTTGGGGTCATGAGCTATTGAACCAATGGTAGGCCAGGAACTGTTGTTTAAAACAGATCGTCCAACTGTGCAAAATTGCATTCATCCAAAAAAACAGCCAAAAGGCACACATGTTGCATACTAGTAGTTGGAAGATTCAGGTATTGAAGCCAGTGGCTTGAGGCCATGTAGGATGCCGGGCCCCTAGTCCCCACAGCCGAGCCTGAAATTAGATCCCTTAATCCCTTATTAGTAAGAACAACTACATTACTTCGAGTGATCCCCACCATGACGTTTCAATCATTTGTTTTCATGCCATGGTGAGGAGCATGTTGCCATGGTCGTGAGTTTTGTGCTTTTCGATTTTGCTTGTGTGTCCTCGGGCTTGGGATTTAGTGAGTTCGCGTTGGGGTGTCGCCAGGGTCTCCAGTTGGCATCCAAAAGTACTACCCTGTGACCACCTGCCACGCAAAATGCCATACACACAGGCAGTTGTTGTGTGTTTGTGATGTTTTGAAAAACAACGTTGTTGTTCCCTATCGCCGTGCGAATTGAGGTCAGACCTCGCGTCGCTATGAAACATGACAAACCATTCCCCAGGTTCCAGGGGTTATTCGTAAAGAAATCGATCTGCGCACGCCGTCCTGAAACTCCATACCCTTAACTTTCTACCCCTCCGAGGCATCGTCCGACCAAAGCACCAACTCTCCCAGCATGAAGAACACCCGAACTCACCACCTACCGGAGCCCGGAGCCCTCGGTTCTTCGGTCCCTCCGTGCCGCGGATCGGTCGCACCTCCGCTTCGATGCTGGGCACGCAGTCCACGAGCCTCGGGGAGGCTCAAGCGGTCGAAAAGAAAACCCGGGGGTCTGCCCTGAAGGTCCTGAATGGTCCTGAAATCCTGCAGAACCCGCCAACAAAAAGAATAGAACCTTCCAAATCACTGAGAGATCTGTGATGATGTGTGTTTTAATTAATATGATGTGTTCTATCTCAGTGTTCTGTTTGTTCATGTTTTTGTTCTCTGACTTGCTTGATCTCGTTTCATTTTTCGTGCAGGAAGCTATATCTTCGTGGCGGTGCGCCCGGTGGCTCGGGTGAAGCCGAGCATGCGATGTCCAAGTTCGGTGGTTTTTGGACACCCCGAATCACCTCTAAGAGGAAATTTATAGATACCTCTTGGAGGTGCTGGTAGATGAAATATGACCTATTCCCCAAAGGATTTACACAGATCGAGGGACAACTAGCACATCACCCGATCAAAGCCAGGAGTTCCAAAGGAGTGCGTTTGGATTCCGTCCATAAGTCCTAAGTGAGTGGATATATAACTTAAAATGAGCCCTTGTTTAAAGGACTCAACCTCCCTCTGGACAGGAACCACTGAGACTCCAAAGGCTTGCAATGAGGCTATGAGAGATCTGGTCAATCCTGCAACGAACAGGAAGCCCTCTCCGCAGCTGCCGTGTTCATGGTCGGGTAGGACCTTTTTTGGGTCTTGGATCACCTTGGATCTATACCAGCACCCTCCAACAGGTCACCACCTGCGACTTTGTCTCCAAAAGCCACCAAAGGAGACCTGTTGGAGGGTCCTGGTATATACATATAATTGAAATAACATCCAAATACCAGCAGTCACAAGACGGGGTGCTATCCATGGAGGTTAGGGGTGCCCATTCTCCACTCACTTAGGGGCTAAACACCACCCCTTTGTGACTCCTGGTATATAATTCTCATTGACTTCCGCAGCTTTTGTGGGAAAAGATGGTCAACCTTTTGCTATACTTAGGCTGAACATGGGACCATGTCTTCCCATGGAGACAGAAATACCATGAGACAGAAATATCATGTTCAGTAAGCCAATGTCCTCGAACCTGTCGCCCTAACGATCCCTCAGCCAGCGACCACCCATCTTCTTCGGTCAAACCAACGCCCAAACCAGGCCCAGCCGAGCACAATCCCGTCGAAGCACGCCCTCCTCGCCCAAGACACTCCTCGGCCGCGGCTAAGGGCCGTTGGCTCGGCTCGGACTGTGGACCGCTGGCCGTGCTCTGGTAGCGCCGCACGTCGCTCGCTGGCATCACGGCGGCGCCGGTGCCTGCGCCGGAGGAGGAGTTCGGTCCCAAGTCGTGGCTCTTTGAAGGCATCGCCCCTCTAAGCAAGCTGCGAAATAGCTACTTAAGGTTTTGCAGGGTTTTTGCAGTATATAGGTCAAAACTGCTCTGGAGATATAGCATTGGCTTCCGGTTAGAGCATGTCAAAGCAAAATATGGGTTATATGATGGGCTTTGATGAATTATACGCTCCAAAATTCCGTGGCTTTCTGGCTTGGGCGGAACACCAGTCGTGGATTCAAAGGCCGTTGACTCTGTGGTGCATTCGACCAACGAGGATCGGCACGAGGATCGGCACGCGCTTTGCCTGGGTCATTGACTACTTTTCTCCAACCAACATGATAAACATGAGCGAGGAACTACTTGTTTCAGGCTGTGTATACGTGAGTCTCCCCCAAACAAGGCTGCAACGGAAGTATGACTTGGGTCTATCCTATTGCCAATAACATTGGATCATGATGGTTAGTAAAGGCGTTGTTCAAAACTAGTGAAAACTGTCTACCTACTGTTACAGGTAGTAGGACAAACCCAAAGTATGACAGTATGATCTAGTATTTTGCTCCAAACTGGCAAAGCCCCTCGCACCAAGGATACATACCATTCCGAATAACATTAGTCCCGCCGAACCAGGGACCACAGGCATGAAACATGCGCTTCAGGAATGCCAATGATACTGCATGTGTTTGTAATTTGCTGACTCAGTGCACCTGCTTTTCATGGTTTTTCACCAGCGAACCACCTGGTGGACCGCCAGGTCCATAAACGAATGGTCCCGGCAACGAGCTCCACAACGGCCATCCGCAAGGCTCTCACGACCCGCCCAAAAACGGTGGTTCTTACTGCAGACTCCGAGATCCGGGCCCTGCATGGCGGTTGGACCTTCTCCACCGATCTCCGCAGGAACCAAACGCGGTGTATTTGATTCGGGCTTCAAACGGGGTCTATAGGACCCGTGATCGGACGGGCTCCCGTTGCTCTCCCTCTGGACCACTCCCCCTCGCGCTGGCGCGGCGCCGCCTTCATCGCTCCAGTCGGAGATCTCGCTCTTGGAGCGATTAGCACCTGGAGCGGTGAAACGCCGCGGAAGACCCGAGAGATAGAGGGAAAAAGGGGAGAAGAACGCCCAAGCCAAATGAGACGAACCACACGTTTTCGCGGGAGTCCTCCACGCAGTAATGAATTGCTTTGCGAAAAAACATGGCGTACCATGCGTACCTTATGACCAACAATTGCATGCCTCGCATGCCTCAGCTTCCCGCACTGCATCCTCTCCATCCACCGAGCCAGCCCCGAATCCCAGCAACTCCCGGATGTCCAGCGCCACTTCTGAGACGTTCAGTCTCTTTGTGAAACCACGTCGTGAACCACGACGCCGTCAAATCCAAAGGCCCTCTGGAAGTTCCGCATCCGTTTGTGGCCCACCGCCGAGCGAAGCTCTTTAAGTACTCCAGTAGCACTGGCCCAAACCTGCCCATAAACATGGAGTGTAATCCTCCTTCGTTGATTAATATTGATTGTATATGATAAAGGGTTTAGATCCTGTTTGATTCACCTAAGAGTCTGCAATTGTGGAGCAACTTCTCTCCCGGTGTCATTGTCAGGACCAGCTTCCAGCTTCTCATACTCACCGTGGTCGTAATACATGTCATACACCTCTTTCTCGCCAAGTCAGAACCCGACCCGACCGGCCCGTCCGGAGCCTGAGGACTTGGACTCGTCCCAGCGCTCCTCTGTGCACTCGGAGACCACTTCCATCGGCTTGATGGATTGCAAACGTTGGCTCGTCGCCAGCACCTCTGCCTTAGGTGTCGCGGGTTATGTCGCGGGTTAGGTTTGGCGCCTGTGGTTGGAGTCACGGGGTATATTTTGGGAGATTGGTGGAGGGCAGGGGAGGGCGTTTAGGGCTTTTTGGTGCATTGGAGAAATCTTTGGTGGAAGTTCCGGGACCAGGTGCAGGCAACTACCCTACTATAGATGGTTCAACCTTCTTGAGTGGAATGCAAACCCAACAAAATCCGTGAATTTACCATACCAATGCAGTCCACCTGCAGGTCCAGGGCACATTCCAAAGCAGTCGTTGCTCCTCTGCCACGTGTAGGAGTCTCTGTAATTCGGCTTGGGTGGCATTCAGCAACTCCTCGCAGCAGCGAGTAGACCCACCAACACGAAGCTCCAAGTATCTCCGGGTAGGCTTCCTCAACCGAGAAAAAACGCATAATGTTTAAACCCAGTGGCTCGAGAATAAACACATGTCATAACCAACAAGCATGGGGTACAAGCCTAGGATAGGCGAAATTGCAGGGCAAATGGACGAAGTGCAGGGCTGTTACAGGCTCGTGAGGTCGGTAGCTCTCACAAGCTCTCATCCTGAATCAGATTCATCCCCATGTCGAGACCGATCGGGGGGAAATGGTCGGTGTCGCTGGTCCATGCTCCAGTGACCAACTTCGTATCGTTCCCTCTTTCTATGGCTTTTCCAACCGGTCCTCAGGAAAAACAGGTACCTGTGAAAGCACATGCATTTGCGTTCGGATCCGCAAGTAAGCCTTCCAAGAACACACCAACTAACTACGATCAAATTGTCCCCGGTGCTCGACTTGAAGGAGATCACTGCAGTTCTGATCCAGGGGCCCACATTGTAGAGGGTGCGGTGTTACAAATGAAACCTTGCATGAATTCGGCTAACTGTTTTTCTTGGACCCTTTTGCATGCTTGAAAGCCCCTGGCAGGGCGGCTTCAGACCTCGCTTCAGACCTGGCGACCCATTCCCCTCGTCCTCCATTTGGCCATAGGGCAACATGGTTCCTGGGTGTCCGACTCGGATCAGGACCGTCCTCCGGAATCCTCCGCCCACGAACGGAATCGGGCGCAGGGGCGCCTACGATGTCACCCAAAGGGGCGCCTAGTAAGGCCACTGAACAATATGTCTTGGATCACAAAGAGCCTCCTGAACTTGGGCGTCTCGGATCCCATATCATAGGGGATAATCACTTGGGGTGGGTGATTGAGCTGGGGTCCTTTTGTGGTCATGGCGTTTCAGTCCCAACATCTTCGTGGGGATCCGGACCGACGGGCTGCTTGGCTCCAAGCAGCCCTCCGAAGGTGGTTGGGGTGGCTGCCACGGGGGTCTAAGCATTGAGGACATGCGCCCTAGGGCCCTAGGGCCCTACGGTTTTTCGACTTATTTCGACTCCTTCCGCCCCAAGAAATCTCCCCACGCGTTTAATGGTCATTGGCGCCCGCCAACCAACGTTGACGAAGAGAAACGACACAAGTCCCCAACTATGGCTGGTCCTTTGTCCTGTCCCACCTGGGCAGTGCATAGTATACAGTGAATTGAGATCGAGTAGGTGGAACAATCCCGAAAAGCTTGCTTATATGGACACTTGTTTATATAGAGCCCCATCTCAACAAAATCTTGAGGTTTGTGCCATCTGGTGCTTGGAGAAGTTTTGCGCACCTTCCACCTCCGGGCCAGGGTGACTTCCAGAAATCCATCAACAAAACAAAGCGACTCAAAGTCAAATCAGAAGTGCTCGACCGAAACGACGTGCCTACGGGTTTTTCTTTGGGCGTAGTGGCCAGAGTCAGCAATACGCACTGGCCGCGCCCCGCGATAAAGACAATTCAAGTGATTCCCACCCTGAGAGGCGAGTTGAAAGAAGGCAGGGCACATGTATCGACAGACTATCCTGACAAACTCTGCCTGACATGTGCATTGACAATGTGTTCTGACACTTGTTTTGGCATCAAGTCTAGGACGCGTTCTGACTCACCATCTACCATATAAGGCTAGAAAAGGTTCTGGATGGTGTTCTGACGTCCTTGTTAGCATGTGTTCAAACACATCTTCTGGCATGTGCTTCCGACATGTGCTCCCCGACCAAACTGGCATCTGCTCTGACGTGTACATGTCTGACATGTGTTGTTCTGGCATCAAACCTGCCAAGTCTTCCGACCCATGGAAAAAATGTCTGGCGTAAACTTGGTAAACTATAAGGCAACTATAGCGGCATTCTATAGCTGGCACATCTTGTGACATCCTTTCTGGCATTCTACTTCGCGTTCTACCTGGCATCCAGTCTGACATGTTTTCATCATTTCCGGCACCGTATATATATATATATATCTGGCATATCTTCCGGCACTCTTTCTGGCGTTCGAACTGGCATTTCTTCTGACCTTCCAACAGCCATGTTCTCTGACATCCTTGCAGGCTTTCTGTCTGGTATATGTTCTGACATTCGAACTGCCATAGCTTCTGACATCCTTTCGGGCATTCTGTCTGGCATCCTTCCGGCATTCTTTCTGGCATAGATCCTGTCACCCTTGCCATGCCGGCTTTCTATCTGGCATATCTTCCGGCATTCTATCTGGCATTCTGCCTGGCATATCTTTTGACTTCTGACACCCTTTCTGGCATACCTTGTGACATCCTTTCCGGCAACATCTTCCGGCAGTCTATCTGCCGTCATTTCCGGCATTCTAGCTGGCATATCTTCTGGTATTGTTTCTGGCATCCTACCTGGCATATCCTCTGACATCCTTTCCGGCATATCTTCTGACATTCTCTGGCATATCTTCTGGCATCCTTTCTGACATTCTATCTGGAATGGCACCTGTTCAGGTCCGTGCGTGCCCAGACTGAGCTGGCCCTCGCAGTGACGTGTACAGATCTCAACAAGCACCTGGCAGGAGGGTGAGTAGTGACTCTGACTGATTTGATGACATCCTCCTCTGGCAGGGCTTTTTCCAGTGGACCAACCTCTCTGGTCACCTCCCTCGCTGGTCACCCCCGCGGCCGAGGCACGCCAGCTCACCCCTCTGGCGGCACGGAAGCGGGAGCACGGATGTACCACGCACCGCAGCGATGGGTTTCACCCCTGGGTGGGACCTGAAGTCTTGGTGCCAGGGTGTCTGTTGCCCAGGAGAGGTGGCCACCCTGTAGATTGTGAGGTGATTTGTAGGTGTGAATCCAAATGATCATAGCACATGCACTGCTGCATGTTCCCCCCTTGTGATGCTCGGCTGGGTGCTCGTGTCGTGTCGTGTGCACCGAAAAAGAGGCTTTCAGCACGCCCGAGTGAGCTAAGCACAGCGGAAAGCATGGCGGCTGCGGGATGCTGTGGGTGATGCATGTATGCTTGGATTTGCTGTCCAGGAACCTGGAAAAAGCAACACATATTCACCAGGTTAGGGGATTTATTTGCCTCCTTAAGCAAAGCCAAGTATGGTACCACCTCATAGGTTAACAAACCTGCTCAGGAGGTTTGAGTATTCGGAGTTGGTTTCCAGAGGTGACTTCACATACGAGAGGTTTCTTCTTCTGAATCTGAACCTCCGGTGAATCTGCAAGAGGTGGATGATGGTGGAGAAGTGTTGCTTTCTTGGACCCCAACCCAAAAGGAACAGCATACGATTTGGGCGTCGGGAGTGTGGTTTTCTTGAGTCAGTTGTACTCTGACCAGCACATCTCATGGCACCGGAACTTGCCGGAGGGGTCCCGGGAAAGACTCTTAACACCTGGTTGCAACCTCCGTTTCGTGGACGAACCTGCAGCATGAGATTATGTTATGTTTTGGAGGGAGGGGCAGGGTGCCCAACAGGATATGTGCGAGTCTGTGAAGGTCTGGCTAATCCATGTCATCCTGGTGCGCCGTCGTCTTCTTTCCTCCAGGTCTAGTGGGCCAGTGCAGGTGCGAGATCAACCCTGAAACATACTCCCCTGTAGATGAACATGGAACCCTAAAAAACCACCGCGTTGGTATTCGGCAAATGGTCGAAACCATCGGTCAATTCTCAGGTTCCATGGGATCGTTTTGCACTTTGATGATTCATCTGGACCTAAGCACCCCGTGCAAGCAGAGGGCCCCCAAAAGACTTGGCAGTGTCTGTAAACCCTCCGACCTCGGTGGTGGAAGCCGGACCAATACCTAGTGGGCTTCTCCCGAGCGGAATGCATGCCCTACTTGGATTTGCCGAACTCGCCCGATCCGCAGAACCCGATTTTGGGGGCCAAAAACCGGATTTCAATCCAAACGAACCCCCCAAAGCAATGCCAAGGTGGGTGCACATATGCAAACCACAATCATGCATTGGGATTTAAGATGATTTAAGCCAAGAGATTGATCCATTAGAGGCACCCCCGGCACCCCCGGCACCTGTGAACAAAACACTCCAAGTGTCGATGTTTGGACCTTCAAACCCCAAAGGCGCCCAACTGAAGCAACCACAAACATGACACCCTCAAAAAGGATACGCATACCAGGGGCCCTCAAAACCATGCAAAATATAGAGGTTTTTACGTACCAAAACAAGTGTTTTTGGTGGAAAACCAGGTTTTTGATGGTTTGTGGGGCCCCTGGTAATTGATGATGCCTCATCTCGGTGGACCTCATATGCTGAGTGAAGCACAAAGAACGATAGTCACTCCAACCACTCAACTCCGCAAGCCAGCAACGTCTCTATGCAACTGCACCCCCTCTCGTTTCGGGGTTTCTCCACTCAGCTTTCCGTACGCGAAAACGCCCACATATGCCCTCCTACAGGGCAGAAGGAAGTCGTTCCAACATTCAAATTGATCGCAATTGCGCCGGGAAGCAGTCCTGGCTTTGCTGTTCCATTCCGAAGCAGACTCGTTATAAGATCTTTTATGATCTTTTAGACACCTAGATGGGTTCAAAGTAAGCTTTCGGAACTCTTGTGCGAACGAAGGCAGCTTGGCTGCCGACGTCTACAATTTGTCTTTAACAAAAATAATGACCAAACCCTCCAATGGCGCCAGCAAAACAAATCGTTCTTCAGGGCAAGAAGCCATCAATGTGAACAATTTACAATTATATATGTAAACATAATTTGACATCAATATAAACATCTGCACACCTAGCAACACTGCTTCTTGACAATCTCATATTTTTTCACCTGTACGACTACGGCCTATAGGCCACCCGCTGGGCCATTGATCTACGGGTTCGTTCTATTGGGGAAGAGTCCTCCACAACTGGATTGATTCTTTATCCACCTGTAGGCAAGCCCGGCAGCGCAGTGGTCTTTACAAGTGTTATCTAAGAATAACGCACTTCTTCTTTTTTTCAGAAAGCTGCACTGCCAGGAGGGCCCGTGATGTTTCCGTACCATGAACCATTGGCCACAACACGACTCGGACGCATGGGCGATGAAACCTCTGCACGTCCACAGGCGTGGAGTGCTCCACGCTACGCTGGGCTCACTTGCCGCGTCATTCCGAGGATCGGTGCGTCGAAGCGCTCGTTCCTGTCGGACACACGAAGAAGGGGATGGGACTGGCAGATTCACCATGGATTTACCATTCATGTAGGCTCTTGATTACGTATTACATCATATTACAACACCCCATGTGAAGATGTTTTACAATCCAAATGGATCCAAATGGGATCAAATGGAGGTTTTGTAAATCAAGAGTCTACATTAGGTTGATTTCAGGGGCCCCGAAATGTTCATGTATCGAGATCATGATCTACATCGTCCGACCACCCATGACCACCCCTATTTTCACCACCCAAATGATGTTTTCTGGCCAAGTCCGTGAAGCTGAAGCTTGCTAAAACCCTCTAGATCTCTCTAGCATTCTCTACAGCAGCCACTGCTTCTGTTTGCCTCTGTTTGCCTGGTGCTTGCCCGCAAGTTGGTCCCCCAAGTCTTGACGGAATACCCTCAAATTAAACGCATCAAAGAAGTGTTCTTTTTGCATGCGTATCCTGTTTCCACAGCCCAAAAGAGAGACCATCTGGAAACAGTGATTTTTTCCTATGAAATGAGTGGGTGCATCCCCCCAAGACCCATGCATAAATCGTAGATCTTCGCGCTTAGACGTACATCTGCCGGTCCCAGGTTTGAGGTCGCAAGTCACCTCCACTCCAACTGGCAGTTCGACCATTCGGCAGTATGTACTCACCTCCCTTCAGACCCTTCGGAAAAGGAGGTGCATTCCACATCGACCCTGGAGACTGCGGATGGGTCGATCGTACGACAATCACTGGCACGGAACGATGCACGGAACGCGCATCGTTAACGATGCACCACTTGGTCACTGGGTCGACCGGGCGTGAGGTCGGAACCCGGTCTAAGGATGTGGGACAGCCTTTTCGTCTACCGTCCCCGGAGCGCAACAGAACTCCTCCGATAGACTCACACATGGCATGCTGGAGAATCAGGACGACTCACTTTGTAGCGCCCCAACAGCCCAAGTGAGATCCATCCAGCACTGGTGATCTTGCAACATTCTACAACCGTCTACTCTGCTGTGCATAGCCTTCCGACCTGCCCCCACCAACCCATAAGGGCCCACAGCGTCCAAAGACCTCCCTTTCGGGTGCGAAAGCAATGCGTTTCGGCCCAAAGTACTTCCGTACTTCGAAGCATTTCGAAGCAATGGCGCTCATTAAAGACCCTCCGATTCAGATGGTCCTGGACTGAAACAGATTCAAATGGCCCCCGCGAGCGCCCCGCGCAGCGCTGCGGAGCGGACCTGAAAGCCAGCATTTGCTCGGCATGATTGTGGCTACTGGGTCGCCGTAGTTTCTGGTCCTGCCAAGGTCGCCCGGTCGCCGGTCGCCCGGTCGCACGTTGCCTGCTGCAGAGCCTTTTGGGGTAGTTGGTAGTTGTAGGATGACCCAATAGAAGCATCCAACCATACCTTTTGGGTAGGGACCTCCATTGTTTCGGTGGTTTTTGGTTTTCCAAGGCCACATGGTCGATGGCAAGCTCACACTGCAGTGGAGGAGCTGCACCGGCCGCCGCGGCGATTCATCAATTGACCGACCCATGTGTGAACACCCCTGAAAGACAAAGGTGTTGACTCACCAAAGTCTTGTTGACTCGCAAAGGCGGTTCTTGCTGATGGCCTACTACCCCTATAGTCCAAGTATCCCTTCTCTATCTCCTTGTTGCTTTTGATCAGATTGACAGTTTCCTGTGCTAAATCTCTGTCGTGTTGACACAGTGAATCCACTTCATTCCACTTCCACCAACTGCGTAGGCGCATGAGGAACGTCAATATCAATACCGTTGAGGTCCGATTTATATCGGCTTTACCAAACAACCGCTTGCTTAAGGATTTGAGACTACAACGCCAGGTCAAGCGTGTGGCTAGTGGTCATCAATTCCCAAGCCCCGGACCACCCTGTCCTCGACCGTCCCAGTACTCTGCCGAAGCATCCTCGGTGTCGAGGAGGGAGCGTGTGGTTGGGGCCATCGCAAACCAGCCCAAACACTGCATGCAATGGATGGAATGGTTACATCCATTCACCCCAATATGACATGAAAACCTGATCCGGAGGCCAAATCAATGCAGTGGAAATAATATGAAATAATCATGGTCAAGTGGATGGCCTGGCCTCGAGTTCGGATGAAAATCCAAATGCCAAAACAGGTGAACTCAACGCAAGGCTTTTCAAAAAGCGCACGCTTTTCGAAAGGAATGGGCTATAGTGGCTCTCCCAACTAGGCTCCTGAGTCTAAAAAGTCTTCCCTGTTGAAGTGATTGAAGCAGGAAAAATGGCTTTGGTTTGGATCAAACAGTTGAAATCCTACTCATAGTCGATCCTCTTCGCAATCTTATCCCATTAGGGTCCAAGTACCTCCTTTTCGCATGGTGGAGTACCTCCGAATCGAATGGTCGGACCGGACAACCTCCGATTCGGAAAGGTCCTGCACCCGCTTCAGTACAACGAACTCCTTGATGCTCTGAATCGGGGCACCATGTCTGAATCCGTCATCTCCACGTCCCCATGTCTCGGGCCAAGCGTCTTTTCCATCACAGAGAGCTTCACCTCAGATCACCCCCCCACGGGGAGAAAGATCGTCCTTCTGCCACGACCGGCAACGAGATCGATCAACCAGCGCGACCGGAACCAGCGCGACCTTCCAACCACCAGCTAGCTTTATATGAATCCAGGGGCTCAGAAGCGGACCAATCGGAACGGCCCTGACCCCCCCAAAAAAAGGTCTGGTTGGTGTTTTCAACAAACGAACGAATATGAGTCAGAGGGTCCAATCATCCCCAAATAAACCTATCCGAAACCATCAGCTAGAGGTTCTCAACGCCGCTCAACGCCGGAGTCGCAGGCGGAGACTGGGAGTTCAGTCCGACCCCCGCTCCGCTCGGCACCTCGAGCGACTTCAGATCCGCGTGCAACGCCACGGTGTCCTCAACGGGCGCGAAGCGAACGGACGGACCGAGGACGTCGCTGCCCGGAAGGAGCTCATCAAGTCCAGGCAGCAACTGAACGAGCTCATGGCGAATCTCGTGGGATGATTGATTGTTCTCTTTTTCTCCGTTGGATGCTATGCCCGGCCCCAAGAACTCCTTGAAAAACCACACAGATTCAGCCCAAAGTCATCACACACATGAAACAAACCATGGCCAGAAACAACAAACATCAACTCATAGACTCATAATTACTTTTCGGTGGATACAATATCATACAACGAGACCATGAGATAAACCTAACTATGGAACTTAAGGTCATCTAAAATGCTAACAACATTTGCGCGCTCCGGGTCCGACAGTGGCAAAGTCTCCTTGAAACTCATTGTTTTGCAAAACAATGTCCTAAAGAAAGCCTCAAGCCCCAAACCCATAGCCGGCATTGGGCATCCATTGTCTACTGAAGGCTCCCAGGTTGTTTGTACAAATACCGTTATAAACTGATCACAACTCGTGTGTGCACTGGCAACTTACCCCAAAAACATGCTTGAAACACTGCAACAGTTGTCCTTTTGGATCCTATTGAGGTCCTCCAGCCTACAAAACATTTGGCCGCCATGGCCTCAGTCCGAAGTTTTGTTTGAGACTGGATGCGTCCTGTAACTGGAACGCACGCCCGTTGGTCGTACGCGCAAACACCTCGAAACCATTCCCGCTGCCCGGAGATCGGGGCCGTGAATCAATGGCACGTGCAGGGCCTTTGCATCTCATAATTCCATCAATAAACTCTTCAAAAGTGACCTGAAAACGGTGCCAAAAAAACGGATTGCTGAAACATATCTTTTCCCCATCCGACCTAAACAACCCACCCAGGGCAACGCGCAACGACACAACACTAAGCATAACCACAGCACATCCCGCCAGTGGCCTGACCCAGTGTTCCCGCCAGTGACCCAACAGCTACAACAAGCAAAAAAAATGACACCGTGTCGCACACACAACAGGAACACAACGCATAATTAACCACAACACATCTACATACTTCATAACACAGTAGGGACAACACAGAAAACAATACCCGTCACAAACAACACTAGTGACACACACACGCACAATGAAACACCAAAGGTAACCGCGACACACTTGGTTCACATTCGGGATGCAGGGCAAGTCGCCCGGAGTTTGCCCTCTGAAGAGCACAATGTCTTTGGTTTGAATGATTGGCTTGAATGAGGTGATTGGAACATGTTACACTTTGAGGAACATGTAGCTTGACTAACTACCCCAGACCGTTCAGAAAATGGGTTTCCCATTTATGGCCCTAATGTAAGGAAATATAGCTACCCAAACCATCCGTAGGATTCCCAGGATCTTGGGTGATTAGAACATGTTCCACTTTGAGGAACATGTGGTCCTACCAACTACCTAGGACCATCCGGACTGGTACCCCATGTATGACCCTGATGTAAGTAACGTTTCGCAAAATCTTGATGAGGTGAGTGGATGATGTTCCACTTTGACGATCATGCAGTCTTACATGGTCTTGCTAACTGTCCCAGACCATCCACAGGACTGGTACTGATACCCCAATTTATGACCCGAATGGAAATATGATTCCCAGAATCTTGATTAAGTGTGGTTCACCAACTACCCTCCATAGGACGGGTAACCCATTTGTGACCTTAATGTAAGTAACTATTCCCGGAATCTTGATGAGATGATTGCAACATGTTTCACTTTGAGGAAAATGTAGTCTTACTAACTACCCCAGACCATCCAAGGGACAGCTACCCTATTCTTTACCCTGAGATGTAAGTAAGAATTCCCAGTGTTGGGAGGGATGGAAATTTGGTGGTGCTGAAGCACACTTAGACTCAAATGATCACTGCAAAGGTCGTTTGTTCCTTTGTTCTTTCTTCATTGGGCTTGTGTGAATTTAAAGGCCCCGCGGGTTTTTCAGTTTCTGCAATTGCCAAAGCATTTGTACTGCCCATGCTGTTTAGAGCAAAGCCAACTCAATTTGGATTGGCCTTGTTTGCCGCGGAGTGCAGCGATGTCACGGGCTTGGAGCGATGCCATGCGATTGCAGCGAGCCATCGGAAAACCAATGGCGCCACTGCTGGAGGCTTGAGGTGGTGGTTCTTTTTAGCTGCACGAAGCTGGGCTAAATGATCGAACGTGTGGTAGTATTCCAGTGATGTCGCTTGGGCAGGCCAAGCTCCGGGCGTCGGCGACGTGCAGCCACTCCCCTTCGCACGGCGCGTGCACCAAATGGTAAGGGGGCGCCGTGGGCCCGTATCAGGGGCCTCGTCGTGGGCGACGTCGTGGGCCATGAGAAGATCGATTTTAAAGCTTGAAAGATTGGGGTCCGGATTCATCAACATGAAGATCTTCGACGGCAGCTTGCGCCACCGAAGATGAGCTGTTACAGTAACAGTAAGTTATGTTATGTTACTTCACTGTTGCCCATGAGGGCACACTTTCTGCTGTCCAGGCCACTGCTCCCTCTCCATTGTCTAAGAGGTGAAATAAGGCCGCACCCTCCTGCACCTTGGCGCAGGGGGCCGCAGGGCCGCTCCCCATGAGCAACTGGTGGTGGCATGTGGTGGCCACATAAATGAACCTCCCAAACACTCCATGTAAGCCTTATGCCGACTCAGTCGGTGGCTTCCTTGTTACTATATCCCAGACACTCCATGTATGCCATATATGTCTACATTGACCCCTCAAACCACCCCAATGTAGGCATATATGGCATACATGGAGTGTCTGGGTATAGAAGCGATGCCTTTTACTCCGTTCGTAGCGTCCTTGTTCCTATAGTAGATATAGGCCAGGAGCCCTGGAACTCGTCGCGTCCGATCGCTCCGTTCCTACGTCGCGATCGGTGGCTTCGGACTCGTGCCGACTCGTGGGCTCGGTGGCTTTGGATCTCAGGAACCGAACCTGGTGACCTTCGTTCTCCACGCGCTCGGAGCGCGCTCCAGCGGTCCAAGGTCCGGTCGGAACATGGAAACCACGCTGCACGACGTCTATACCGTCGACGACCTAATGGATGATCGTTCTGACTACAGCAGCTGTGGGTAGTTTCTTTTTGAGATTCTGGATTCTGGCACCTCCATACACCTCCCAAGTAACTAATTAAGTAGTAGGCACATGTTCCATGAATCTCTGGGTGGAGTTCACTTTTCCATCTAACTCCTGCACGGAAAGACAAACCATCACTCAAAGATCTGACGCTGAAGTTTATCTGGCAAAAGAAGTCTCGACGTTCATCCTGCGGTTAGGAAGCCCAAATGAATGGACAGGGCTTGCCCAATGTATAGATGTCCCGTTTCTGTGCAACCGAACAAGCCAACAAAGGTTAAGTGACCTTATAGGACCCTACTTCGGATAGCTTATAGGGTTCTTCGACCTCTGCTGGAAACACCAAACCCTCCAAACCAATTCATGCTGAGCAGGGCCCTTCGTCTGCCTCGCAAAGAGTTCAGCCCAAAGAGTCTCACCCGCGAGCGGAACTCAGCCTCTGTCCGACCGAACAAAGCGGAAACAGGGAGCCAACAGGACCGCGTCCCGGACCCCCTCGCCGCGTTTTGTTCCACGCGAGTCGGCGAGGTGCGTCGATCTCCAAGGTCTGGAAATAGGCCTGGCCGTTGATTGAAAGACGGGGAGGTGTCCCAAACAAAGGGCCTCCTGGGACCGTGATGCTGGCTATGGTGTTTGGGAAAACTGGGGCGAAAGCTAGACTCAGACATTGAAAACCGTTGGGCTCCAAACTCAGCCGAAACCATGCCAAAACCATGAAACAACCATGTAACAGTTGTAACAGCTTCGGTAGTATAAATCCTGGGAAAGAATAGTCTATTGGGACCATCTTGAGGCCCTAAGGATGTCCCCCCCAGTTCGACCATTCTCTGGAAGTACTTATTTCACCTTCCAGGCCATCCTCAGCAGGTACCTGGACCCGGGATCAGATGGTCGGTGTGTGAAGCGAGGGAAGTGGACGCACGACTGCGCGGCGGTGCGCTGCGGCAGTGCTTGCACGACTCCGCAGCAAAACAGAGACGTCACGGGTGTGGAAGTGGAGATGATTTGGGCCACCACTTTGGTAGAAGACATGCCAAGACCCCCAGAGCTCATGAGTGGCTTGTCTCAAGAAAGCAGGGCTTGTCTTGAGGAGAAAGCAGGATGGAAGCCGATTCATGTGATCGGCTCCTGGGCGAAACCATGTTGAAGGCGATGATGATGCCATTGGCTTGGCTAGCGTAAGCGTTGTTTTGTAACAGTTCCCTATATATATAGAGGTCAAAGCACTCACTATAAATTATACTATACTGGAGTTGGCCAATGTTGCCCATACAAAAAAGTACTCAACGAGGTCAAAAGACAGGGTTTGGACCTGGGTCAGGTAGTAAACTTGCAGGTCTTGTATCAACAGAGCCCATGTGTGAGGCATGGAGTTGGGAGACTCTTGCGGTCCAAACGGGTGCCACGGTGCCCTGCTCGCGAGTGCGAGCGCTGGGGAAGTAGCTTCGGTCCAAGGCTGTGGGCACCAATTCCGCAGGTCTGAGTCTGGAGCCCTACAAATCAGTTGGACCTCATTTTGCCTGGGTCATACAAAAAAGACATAAAAAGAGCCATGGAAAACTCAAAACATTAACAGCCATGGTTGTACTGGTCCAAATGAACCTTTAGGGACCTTATAGGGTATAGTAATGCTTATGCAAGTGCGGGCGGCGGCCACCTTTTGCGGCTTGTACGCCTCCAGCTCCACCAAGCGCGTGAGAGAAAGCCCCGCACGACTGTGTTGGTCTAGGGGGGAGGAGACGTGTGCAACAGAAAAACTGTCCAAACACACTGGCGCAGACACTGTGATGCAACAGGTTTCTTCGTAACCCGGAGGCCCGCCACGGAGCGGTCGGGGCCCAAATTCGGCCTGGTCCTTGCGTTCGTTTCAGCTGATCTTGCGTTCAGAATCTCTCTCAAATCCGCAAAGCCGGTGGCCAAATGGTCCATTCCAGCTGGTGTCCATCTTCGCCCCTGTCCAACTGGCTGGGTGCGACTCGCAGCGGTGTATAACTATAATTAGATCGACTGGCTGGATCCTATTCGTCAGCCACCCTCAGTCGCACCAGTCGGAAACAGGAACGCGGTGAACGCGGTGAACGCCATGCCTTCACTTTGGGATTCTGCAGAATCTCCGTGAACTTCTCCTGCCGATCCGCGGAAGAGGATTCTTCAGCCAGGAAGAGGGATCTGGTTCTTCTTTGGTTGTTGCGTGATTTTCGTGGGAGGAGAAAAGCCTCATTCCTACACACTCCATGTAATTATGGAATAGTGACATACCAGGATCATCCAATGGGTGTCCAATTGACTTCCCTACCCTACCCCACTTACAGGTCTCGATTGGGCACCCGTTGGAAGTGCTAGGTACGTGTACTCCATTGATGACCCTATTGTTCCATACATGGATGGTCTGGAGTTGGTTTAGGACGGTTTGAGGGCTGAATTCAGGGTCTTGCCGTGACCCCACGGAAGCCGTGGCTTGCACAAGTCACTCCCAATCCAATCACTCGAACACGGTAATGATTGTTGGAAAACCTATTGAACATCCTAAGGTCGACCTTCTACTGTATGGCTCTCCACGCAGTACAAAGCGGGGGCCTTGCCCAAGCTGCGCATGGTTGAACCACTTTTGAGCTGCAAACCGGTATACCGGGCGTGTCAACACCACCCGTGGGTGACTCGGGGTGAAGACCCTTGCTACAGAGGTGGACAGTGACCGAAAATAGGATCCTACTCACCTGGGGTACCTGGCCTGGGATAGTCGAACGGTTCTGACCCACCGAATCACTGGCCTCAGTGATCATGCCATCGGTCTCGATGGTCCGGAAGATCCCGGCGAGCTTGTCCACCTGCGAGGCGGTTCGATGCCTCGCGGATCCGAAGAAGCCCGGCAGTTCCACCGCCGGAGCCGAAGAAGCGCGGCATCTGGCTGGATTTGCAGGGTGACCGGAGGGGGGGAGTCGGTCCTCAAAAGACTTGAAGGGGGGGGGTTTTGGAGGGTCCAAAAGGATGTCGCAGTTCTGAAGGGTTTGGGGGAAGGAAAGTGTTCCAACCAACCGGGCGAGTTCAAACAACTTGGGGTTCATCGATCGCCTCATCGGTGCGAAGCAACCTTCATTCCCTAAGAACTCCGAGCTCCGGGGCTCTCCATGGCGGTCGGAGCTTCACCGATCTCCGCAGAGCTCCGGACCCGAAGCAAACCCTATCTGCTGGTTCGGGCCCGGATTCTTAGAGTTTGAGGATTGAAACATATTGATCAAAACACTTCGAAGCATGGTTGCACGGTTTATAAAATCAACAAACGATATAGGATCTGGGAATTGAGTGTGCTATGAAACTTCCATATCGTTTCCCCTGTGCTCAATGTGAACGCCCTGTTAAACCTGTCATTGTTGCTCGGGACTTTGCTCGGGCAGGGTGCACTCTTGGCTTTGGCTCATTTGTCCACGCTCCAACTGAGCAAGCCAAACAAACCAAGTGACAGGTGTGTTACAAAAACACCAACTCTGCAATTATTCAACTTAAGCGTGTGCCGTCATGAGATCAAATCCGCTCACCAAATAGCTGTGGGCAGACCCCGCAACAGCAAGCGCCAAATCACAGTGGGCACTGATTATACCCAACCTCAACCGCAAGTGCCAGATCCCAGCAGGCAGTCACAGGCCTCAACACCAAGCGCCACAGTGGGCACTACCAGACCTCAACAACAGCAACCACCAGTTCCAGCCCGGCTTCCTTCTAGTCCGAGGACCCGAACTCCCTGCCACGGCCCCGTCGACAGGCTGACCCTGCAAACATCAGGTCGAGTCCATGTCTGATAGCGCGCTTTGGTCGGGTTCCCGGGCGTATTCGTTCTTCTTCCGGAGCTTCTCCAGAACCATGTGGTGCGCGTCATTGTTGGCCTCGAAAGGAAAAAGGAACCAAATGGCAAAATCCTAGCATGGCAGGGAACATTTACAGGAAACATCAGGAAACCCAACGTTTTGGGGATGAGAACCATTGGTTTTCGCTAAATGCTGCCTTGAACCATTGAGAAAAAGAAGTGGAGAGCACTGGGCACCTTGAACAGCAATGGGCACTAAGTCTTCCGAGACGCCATACATCCAGACCTGGCATTTTCTTGGGGGTTCAGGATCAAGGAGCCCCTATAGTAGCTTCTTGTTCCTAGTAGTAAGGCCAGGAGCCCTTGGGCTTGTTTTCCATCCACGAAGTGTTTGGGCCCCACCGAAACCCATGGAACGTGACCGAGACCGAAGAATGGTAGATCGGAGCAGGATCACAGGAAGGCGCCCGAGTCACGAGTCTCATTCCCCAAGGTTCTTTTTGAGGTTGCCCGGCATACCGACACCATTTCGTACTTGACCCTATAGGGCTCCAGTCGTAACTCCTCAGAAGGTATGACTGGACCCTCCTGGCAGCCACCTCAAACACCGAACGAAACGAAGGTACGACTGGAGCCCTAGGGTGAGTCATACTGAGTACTGCCTTTGCGCGCAGTATGCGTTCGGACTTGCCAGACCAATACCCTCCAAAGACGTGGATTCCAGGAGGAGGCCACGGGCCACTCATCCATGCGATGGACCGTCACCGGGCTGACAAAAGAAGCCCCTGCAGCACCAAGCCGTCATTGGTGAACAGCTTGGGCCGCACAGACTGGCTCAATCCAAAGTTAGAACAGTCTCAGTCAACCCATGCAAAGGAGCTGTTCACCAAAGACAGGTTTTCTCCCTAACACCTGCCCATGCTCACCAGAAGAGTTTGTCAGTTTGTCATTGAGCGTGCAACTGCTCTTCACATTGTATCTATTTGTATAGTTGTTTGCTTTGCGGTGTCACGCATCGACAAGGAAACCCAGCTCAACATGAAAACAACACATTATTTCACCATGTACCGCTCTCTTCGTTTGTTGATTGGCAGCTTGTGGGTGTGGGCATTCAGTAACACCAGACCGTAACACCGGGACACCCCTGTGTAGAGTTCAAGGGCGGAACTTGGCAAAGCCAGGGGTTCGAAGACTAAAACCCATACTAGGACCCACAACGGGTGGTTAATGGACACCCCTTAACCTCTAAAGACAACCAAACACCCCTTAGGGTGTCCTGGTATGTGGCAACCAGTGGTTTCAAAGACTAAACCATAGACCTAGAAACCCTGGTTCCTTGCAAAGTGTTCACTTGGATCCATTGGGAAACATTCCGGAATCTTCGGATGGCTGCGGCTGAACTCATCCTAGTCTCACCATGGTACGTGCGAAATGAACCAGGTGTCAGGCATGAAAGGGGCCCTGAAAGGGTCACCTATTTTTCCAACCCCCC